TATCTGTGGGAATGCGTCTGTGTTCCTGCTGGCTGGCATCGGTACATTCTGTGCTCATCCAAATCAGGCTGTTTCTTCCAATCCTCCAACTTAACTCTTTGCAGGATGGACTTACTCCTTTGTGTTCCCCTGAGCCTGAGCTAGGGAACAGAGTAAACTTCCCCCAAGAAATCAGTGCTGTAAAATAATATCCAGTTACTTGGCTAGCCAAGTGTGTGGCTGAACTGATTCCTTAATTTTTTTAAAAGGGCCTACCCATATGTCTTGAGAGAACACAGAATTGCCTTGTTCAGGTCTAATATCAAGAGCTCGTAGCAGCTGTGGAAGAGGCAGAGCATCATTTACTAGCATAACTCTTATGAAGAAATTAGTCTTACCATGCCTGTGCTAAACAGGGCTGGACAGCAGGTATTTCTGTATTAGAGGCACACTTCTAGTGTTTACTATTTTGATTCATGAACTGTGACTTTGTCCTTTCATACCATTAATTAATGGCAAGATCCTCACGATTACAGAAAGCACGTAAAGACTTTGAATTGTTTAAAGTGTTTGTAACTAAATGTGTGTGGCAAATATTCTGACTGATGTGTATAGTGTTTGGTTTTCCCTCCTTCTCGAGGCATACTGTTTTGCTTAAACTAATGAGCAAAGGCCCTGCAAAAGTACCTATTGCAAACTATGTTTTCATGAGACTATCATCAGATCAGAAAGCTTTAATCAGAAAATACAGGATTGCATTTGAGCTCAGGCTTTGCTTCTAGGAAAGTTGCATTTGCAGTATAGTAATCACATAGGAGCTTTATACTGTCTGCTTTAGGAGTTTAGTATCAAAATAGCTAATTTCCTGGTAGTTGGAGAACATGTCCATGCTCACTAAGTGAGTAACTACCTCTAGTGGTAGCTGTGGTGGGTACAACAACGACAAGACCCCCACATTCCTGAACCGAATTTCGAGTGTAGTTTTAAAAACTTGGGTTTACGTCCTCTTGCTCAATGCTTTCTGGGCTTTCAGGGTGACTTGCACTAGAACAGCAAATGCTTGTACTTTGTGGTTGCTGTAAATCATGGCAAGACTTGAAGGTTTTCTGCTCCGACATCAGTAGTTTAGACAGAAAAAACCAAAGCCAAAAACCTCTTAGACTACTATAGTTAGAAAATCTTCAACCAGAATTCTAAAACATACTTACCATGCAATTCAGAAACTTTCAGTCTTTCAGTATCTTTGATACTTCTATGTCAAGTGTCACTTTATAATTCACAGCACTTCAGTGTGCCAGAGTGACCCTTTGTTTCAGTCTTATACGCAGGTATACCTGCATCCAAGACTATCTCCAGTACTCATTTGCATTTAAAGCTGCATCTTCTGTTCTGGAATCACTTTTAAGGTGATACTAGATAGGTTTTTACTGATAATTTCTTGAACTTAGAATCATAGATTCTTTGGTCATCTTTCAATCATTTCCTTCCCCCACCCAAGTTACTTTTGCAGTATTCGTTGATCTGTAAGGGTTATAGTCCCTGATCCCATAGCATTAATCCAGTGTTGGAATCAGGAGCTCAGCCTGATGATTTGTATCTTGAAGACTGATAGCTAGAATTTAAAATGCTCCTTACATACCTCTGCCTCAGCTTTTTTTTGCCTAGTCCTGAAATCTTGTCGCAAGAAGGTACAGTCTGTATTAACTTTTGTAGGTAGGCTGGCTGTTAGCACACTAATTAGCACGCACTCAGTTGTTGCTAAATATCAAATCATTAGGCAAGCTTGGTTATTAAAAACCTAAATTGGATTCCATGTACTAGGTTTTAGCTTCCCAGCTGTATTAATATCATCAGCAAGTGTGTCATGCTGCTGTGATAGTGTACTGGTAGTCTTAAAACGAGCACATGATTGAAAGCAAGATGTCTTGTTTGCTGTTGAAGGCTTTGGCCTTACGCTCTGCAGAATGGCCAGTGTTCTTTGAGACATAGAGAAGAATACAGAATGTGCATCACTTGCATTAAGCTTCTGAGCTGCCATTAACTATCTGTATGTGTAAACTGCTCTAGTGTGAGTGGGTTTTTGTGAAGTGTGCTTTCGCACATGTTAGTTTACTTCCTAAATTGTGCACTGTAGTTATCGAGCTAATGTGATACAAAATACAATTGTAATGTAAAATAGCTGTAGAACTAAGCTTCAGATGCTGAGTAGCACAATCTAATCTATTCCACTGGATTGAGAAAAGGCTTGAACTAATTCACGATTGAGTTTTTGAACCAGCTAGTTAAAGCTAGTTGTGAAACTGCACTGTTACTTTGCTTCCTCTTAACTGTAGGCTGTTACATTGTGTGGATGTCTTAAAATGTAGCTAATGCCTAGTAAAAGAGGTTGGGGATTCCTTGCATTGTATGGGAGTGTAATCTGTCTTCATTTTTCTTTAAGTTATTCCTTATTGACTTTGGTTTGGCCAAAAAGTACCGGGACAACAGGACAAGGCAACACATACCATACAGAGAAGACAAAAATCTCACTGGCACAGCTCGATATGCCAGTATCAATGCACATCTTGGCATTGAGCAGAGGTGAGTTCAAGGAGATTACTGCTGTGCTTTTGGAGGCTGCAAGATGATCTTATTTGTAAGCTTCTGAAGTGTCTGAACTAATTTTATGTGAATAAGTGTATATATCCCTTTGCAAGTGCTTTCTTTTTGGCTGCCTGTGCAAGGGTAGGGGAAAGAATCCAAGCACCTAATTAGCTTCTTTTCAAGTTGTTTGGAAGTGTATGTTAGGTACTCATGAGATGTGAAGTAATGCACCTCTTCCTTACCTATATGCATAGGTATTGTAATGTCTAAGTGTAATAGTGTGGCTTTACCACTTGATGCTGAGGTCACTTAGACATAGTTAAAACTCCCGTGTTAAAACTCTTCATCCTTCAGTTTAATCAAGATGGGATTGACAGAATATCTAGTTGTCAACTTCAACAGAACGCGTAACTTAGAAAATATTTTAAAATGCTCCACGTTTCCTCTTTGCTTTAATTTCCTTAAGGTTCCTTAAGTGTATTTTATTGTCTGTCAGTGTCATTACCTAAGCCTACCTGACATGTGGGTCAAATGGGGTAAATGACAGGTGTCATTTCTGAAGTAAATACATTTCATACAACCCAAGCTGTTCATATAAGGGAATAGCTGTGCTAGCACCTCGCAGTGCAGGGAGGGAACTTCGAAGGACTATTGCTTTTGAATTTACTTGGAGGTCTTGTACTGTCTCTGCTGGTACTGGGAATTCTAATAGAATTGTAGGTTGGTGCATGCTAAAATCTATTAAACTGTCTAGATCAAGCCAACAGTGAGGCAAACAAATAATATATTCCTAAGAAAAAACAGTCCTGAAGCTTATGACAGAATATTTTAACTGTTAGTGCTGTACTTGAACTGTTGCAGAACATGTTTTCCTATGTGTAATGACAGCTATTCTCAAGGAGCTATTTGGAACCTTATCCCTTTCTTGTTTGGGTAATAGTATTTTCCTGGTTTCCAAATCCTGAAAATCACTTCTGTCAGTATATGCTCAAATGCAATGTATCCATTATAGATGTACAGAACTAAATGTTTTCTGCTACAGAATCATGAAATTAGACATTAAAACAATGAAGTAGATGGGGGAAGGAAACTATTAATCCCTTTATTGCTTCTGAATTTACCACTGCTGTCTCAGAAAATGTAATTTTATGTCATGGCCCCATACTGGTTCACTGAATCCTGATGATGATTAAAATCTGCAATTCTAATAGAATTAGCAAGTTTTGCAGGCTGGAGTTTGTGGGCTTAGTATTGTTTTTCATCCGTCTGTCTTTGACTGTGGTTTCATGTTACAGCTGAGATGACCTCAGAGCTAGCTGTCAAGAGGAGTCAACCAATCATAGAATCATTTAGGTTGGAAAAGACCTTTAAGATCAAGTCCAACCATTAACCTAATGCTGCCATTCCACCACTAAATCATGTCCCCAAGCTAATCTTCTCTTCCTGACCTCTGGGCACAGCTAGTGCTTTTTCAGCCTTGTGGTGAAATGGTGCAGGGAGCCAAGCTGATTTTCTTCTGGTGTGGCTCCCTGAGCCAGTTCCCCAAAGGGTCAGAGAGCTGGAATGTGTTGAGGGGGTGACAGGCAGGCGGTTCTGGTGATTATTAGTGTTTATATTGGGTTGGCTATAACATGAAGGCTATAACCTACAACTTCTTCCCTTTCATACCAGGATCTAGAGGTAGATCTGTCCAGGTTCTTACAGGTTATTCTCACTTAGAGAGCTGTTTTACCCTCACCTATATATATAATCCTGTTTGCAATACTGCTCTCGGCCTTTTGCTCCCTTGTAGGGGTAGTAGGTGTGTAGTCTTTCCTGCCACCATTTAAATGCTTTTCTTGCAGATCTGCCTGGGTGGCAAAGCAGCAGCAATGCCTGTCTGGTTCTCTTGATAAGGGAGCTGGGAGGAGAAAAATAAGTTATTTTTCTGTCTCATGTTAAATAGATGTCAGCTGCAGAGGGGCAGTCAAAGGAAAAATGTGATTCTACCACAGCTGGGAAGAGGCAACTTTGCCAAGAGGGAAAAAATCATGGAGCATTTTTTCCACTTCAGTGAACTGTACTAACCTTAGTAATCATGAAAGCTGTGTAGCGAAGACTGATGGTGTTCATGTGGCTGAAGTGTGGATCTGGAGCATATGCAGTACAGAAAACATTTGAAGCCTTTTAGATGAGAGTTTGCGTGCAAGTTCTCAGTGAAGTCTATGGGCAGATAACTTTGGAGTTCTCTAGCTGCCTTGAAACAGACTTCTTGTGGGGAAAAAAAGCAGAGGCACCTCAGATTGATGCATGCACCTTTCTAAATATTGCCTGTCTTAAAAATCATGGAGGCAATTCAGAATCTTTTAACAGAAGTGAAGAAAGAAAGGCGTTATGCCGCTCTGGGGCTAGATGTTCGGTATTGGTCCCAGCCTGAGGCAAGGTTCAGGGAAAAGTCATCTTTGATGAAGTTAAGGCTAATGTCATGTATCTCTCTTGCAATGCATTCCTTGGTTCCTGCAGGTAAAACCTTAGTGTCTATCCAAGCTACTTAATTAAATGGGAAAGGCATTTAATGTTTCATTTTTTCGTTTTCCAAAGTTTTTGTTTCCCAAATCATTCTAATGTAACTGCAGATGGAAACTTACCACGTACAATACCTACTGACTATTCCTTGCTTGAAAAGTGAATAGGATCTCCTTCCTGCTTGTGAAGACTTGTTACATGCCTGCCAGTGGAATCCTGAACACCTAGATGTCTTAGCTGTAGTAGGAAGAGACCTTCCTTTGCACCAAAGTTTAGGTTTTATTCCTTAATTATTTTTTTTTCATTTTGGAATGCTTGCACTTACTGAAATAAAGTATAAAATGCCAAAATTTGTAATTCATTTTGGTTTTCCTCTTTCTCCAGTCGTCGGGATGACATGGAGTCTCTAGGCTATGTATTGATGTACTTTAACAGAACCAGTCTGCCTTGGCAAGGATTAAAGGTAGGTTTTGTTGCCTCCCCACCCCCCCCTTCCTTTTTTCTTTTTTTTTTCATGTTTGGGTATCGTGCTTCTGTCTGCTGGTCTGGCTAGGTGATTGTATATAATGTTTAGCTGCAGCTATACAAAGCAGCTTTTCCCAAAGCATGATATTTATAGAATGTAGAAGAAAAGTTCTTTCTGCTTCTTGTGCAGCAGGCAAAATGTGTATTGTTCAACTATCTTAAGACTTATGCTGAACAATAGCTTATGTCATCTTTGCAAATTATTATTGTCCTGCTGTAGGCTGAGGCCCTTTTTGGGAAGTAGAATAACATTGTTAGTGGCTCTTTGAATTACTGTAGAGAGCATGGAAATAATCTCTTGCCTAGCAAGTTCAGCTTTAGTGATATCTTCAGTCCGGTTTGTGGCACAACTGAATAATTAGCTGCAACAGACATGTTTCAAGTATTTCCATGTATGGTAGCCAAGTACAAGCATGGCAAATATTTCTTATTTCTGTTATATAGACTTTAGTGATTTGTTTTCATGTTTTAATTGTTTTTCTTCCTCCATGTGAGAGTTGTGTAACTCAAATGATGTTGCAGCTGTGAGTTTTCTGAAAAGGCAAGCAGCTTGTGAAACACTAGAACTCTTCAGCTGCAAATGAATGTAATGGCCGCTTACTGAAACACGCAGGCAGCCCTTGAATGGGGTACTGAGTGGGAATTAATAGAACTTTGGCAAATGTAAATGCAAGTCTGGTCTGTTTAATGGACAAAAGCAGCAGCTAGAACTACATGAGCTGTGCCATGTGATGAAAGCATTAGACTGCGACAAATGGTATTAAACTGTGTCCAAATCTTAATACCAGATTGACCTTCATTCTCTTTGCAGTAAGTGTGTGGGACTTGGAGATTTCACATAAAATACTTATGGTTGACCAAAGGATTTTTGTCATTTTTTTTTTGCTACTGTCCTTGTTAATCCAGTGTTGCACAATATCTCTTATATTGTGACCTACATGTTCCACAGGCTGCAACAAAGAAGCAAAAGTATGAAAAGATTAGTGAAAAGAAAATGTCCACTCCTGTTGAGGTTTTGTGTAAGGTAAGACTTTCCAAATGATGTCATACTGTGAAATGGAAGTTATTTTCTTGTTTGTTTTTTGTTTGGGTTTTTTTTAAACTAGAGCCAATATCTTAGTCTTGCATGGCATTTGCTGCTGAGTAACACTTCTCTGGCAGTCATGGGTGCCTTGTGTTTGGCCACCCAGCAAGACTGTGAATGTGTGTAACAGGGTAGGCATTCGCTGCTGTTTCTTGGCGTAGTTCATGCCACCGTCATTCCAGTTCTTGGTGACTGTTGGCTGTGCAAGCTCTCCAGCTCTTCGGTGAGGCTTGTTCATTTCTTCAACTTCTACAGTGAAAGTTCTATGTGTGCCCTGTTGGATAAATAAAAGCAAGGTAGAGCTGTATAGCTTGCCTGTGTATAGCTTGCCTGTATATACTTGTTTCTGCCTCCTCAAGATTGTTCATACTGTCTTCTGTATCTCAAATAGAGGCTGTAGTGGAATTGGATGTCAAGTGATCTTTAAAGCTATGCTGCAGAATGATGTTTTTCCAGTGCTATCCTTTGGATCTTAAGATTTCTCTTGAACTGTGGCAGCCATGTGCTTGTTAACAAAGGGCTTTCAGAACACGTAGTAGTTTTTGCACATCAAACAGCAGCACCAAAGATTGCATCTTCTAGCCATACATGTTTATATACCCTTATGGTCTGACAGCATCTTCCAAACTGCTGAACTGTTAAACCCTGTGTTTTTTCTTGTAGTACAGCACTATGCTGTATGCTATTACCTATTTACATGTAGGCTTTAATATAGCATTAAACGTATAAATATGTAAAGCAGGAAATCTTTGAAAGAGGGTTTTCATCGATTAAGTCTTCACACTCAATAGTGATGACTGACCTTGCCTCTAGTGTGCTCAAATAGATTATCAAGGAAACATGAGTAGAATCTTTTAAGAGACAATTACTACTTATTTCAGAAACCTAGTTAATAAGAACTAGGTTTAATTAGGATGAATGAAGTGCTCTTAAATATGCTGTATGTTGAAGGTTTTGGTAGCAGAAGACTTGTGATTGCAAAACATGCATTGGGTAACAATTCTGGGGAAGGAATGTGCACCTGATAACTTGCTGATCAAATCCGCTTTCTGAAATACCGAATAAATGAGTAACTGAAGGCAAAGTGGAATTTACACTTACGACTCTTCAGCCAGTTTTTCTCTGCCATTATAGTCAGAAATACAGCTTTTTGCTGCATTATAGCGTTGTTAGAAGCTTTTGCTGCAAGCTATGGCTTGATTAACACTGTTGATTTACAGGGATTCCCTGCAGAATTTGCCATGTATCTGAACTACTGTCGTGGCCTGCGCTTTGAAGAGGCACCAGATTACATGTATCTGAGGCAATTATTCCGTATTCTTTTCAGGTCAGTCTCAAAGTGGAAAAGTACAGAAATTTGTCAGTGCTTTACCAGTTGGTTACTGCTCTGTGGGACTTGCACTGCAGAAAGCTGCTCTGTATGTATGTGGTGTAGGAAGCTCTTCTGGGACTTTCATTTCAGGGCTTGGAAAGCTGTTTAAAGGACCTGAAAAATACTGTTCAATGTTAAACATCAAGGAAAATATTATCTTGGTTTTGTGTTGCATGATCTGACCACTAATGCTAGAGGCTTGAGCCCATGCTTCAAGTTCTGTTGCAAGTAGCTTAAGAAATTGACCCTTTGATAAGTGTTTGAAGCTTTGTATGTTTGGAGATTGGTGATGGGACTGGTAGTGGTGCCCAGGAGATGGATTTCAATGGAGGGGAATAGTGCTGTTTCATTGAGCTTGTTAGAGAAACCAGAACATAAACTCAACCTTGTGGAGTGAACGGCATCTGTCAAAAGAAGAGCTGGTACTTATCTTTCAAGAGTCTCCCTCCAGGTTTCTGGAATCGAAAAGCAGTCATTTGATGGTCTACAATACTGCAGTCTCTCCTTAAAACTACATATATTTATTTTTTTAAAAAAAAGGCAGAAAACCTCAGTGCAAACAAATGGGTAAGCTGGGTTGTGGGGGAAGTGCTGCTTCTACAAATGCAGACTTTTGCATAAACAATGCTGCTTGATGGTATTTGCTTCAAGAGTTAACCTCTAGGTCTTGGTTTTCAGCAAAGGCTTAGTATTAGCAATAAGGAAGCTATGATGTGTTACAGTAAAGTATTTCACTCTTTTTCTAGGACCTTGAACCACCAATATGACTACACATTCGACTGGACAATGTTAAAGCAGAAAGCAGCACAGCAGGCAGCCTCTTCCAGTGGGCAGGGGCAGCAGGCCCAAACCCCCACAGGCAAGCAAACTGACAAATCCAAGAGTAACATGAAAGGTTAGTAGCCAAGAACCAAGTGACGTTGCAGGAAAAAAAAATTACACTAATTTGGACAATGTCAGCAATTTAAGTGTTAGATCAAGGAGGTGGTTTAAAAAATATATTTGGCTCTTAATTTAAAAAGCAAAAACAAAAGACGTCCTTGGAGAATTTGACTACTAACTTTATACCAAAATGTCCTTGTTCTTCATGTCATTTCTTCTGGGGATGTTGGGTCATTTTAACCACTGCATCTTTTGCTCCTGCATTAACCACTTTCCAAAAACAAGAAACTGACTTGGTGTTGGGAATGTGACATTTTTATTTATTTTTATTTATATATATACATATATATTTATATATATATAAATATATTATACAATCCAAAATTCTAGACCTAACACTTCTTAAGGGATAATTCTCATTTAACTAGGCAAGGTTCTAGAGACTTTGGGTTCTACTCTGTTCCAGCTGGTACAGTGCTGTGGGTTTGTTTCTGTTCTGTATGCCTCAAACATTGGAAACAGAAAATCGTGACTGATCTGGCTTCCTCCAGTGGGTTTGCATTGAGACATTTGGTCCAGAGTTAAAGGAAAGGACCAGTGAGCTCAAAATGTCTTGCCTAAATTAAGGCATAATCCCAAATTGCTGTGGACTGCCAAGTCACAATTTTCTGAAGTATCTGGATGCTCTGGGATGGGACTTCAGGTTTCTTGAATATTTTTAATGTTTCTAGGTTATGGTTTCAAAGGGAAATGTTGTGAAATGTTCTAAAATGTAATTGAGTAAAAACTGAAAAACTGAGTTCTGAAAAGGCAGGATATTTTTTCTACACATTCTAGAAGCTTTTAACATTTTTTTGTGGTGTAAATCTGCCAGTATTAGTCTGGTAAATCACTAGACTGAAACTGCTACAGCTAGTGACTATTACAGCCAGTCTTGTAATGAAACTGATGCCTTAAGATGAGCTGTGGATAAAACTGAAGCTAATGAGGTTGTTTGAGAATAGAGAAGCTGGGTTTAAGTCATGTACTGAGGTATTGCTAGTATTTGCTGCTCTTCAGTACATTCTTGTCTTGACTATCATTTTTATATGTATAAAACTATATATTAAGCTAACATGGCAGACTTGAAAGTCAAAGAAACACAGAAGTGTTTACAATAAACTTATCAAAACATTGCTTTTCATATATTGTGGCAGCATTCAAACATTACCATGTGGCTTTAGTCAAAATAGCTATTCAAAATCTAACACTTCATCCAGAAAAACGAAGTAGTAAAATACCTGCCAGTCTTCCCAAGATTCAACCTGAAATGGTTTTGAAGAAGAAAAAATTCCACGGGATACCATTAAATGTCAGATTCTTTGTGGCATAGAGAGTCCAACTTGTTTAGCTGGAACTGGCAGGTGTTACAACACTGAAGGCTGTAAACCAGTTCCTTCAGCTGAAACACCAGTATGTAGCAGACTGGGTGATTAAGCATCCAGGCTTAAATTGTTTCCTGAAATACAGAAGCTCTGACTGGAGTTCAGAACCCATCCCAATGTTGGGTTGTGGAGAGATTGGCTGTGAGAGCAGGAGGAGACAATCTGACCAAAAATGTGGATTCTTCACAATGGCTCATGCTTAAAGTGAAGGTCTTACAGGAGGTGATGATCTGTTAATGGATGCTGCCCTGAAAATCAAGTTGTATGCATTTGAAAGACTGTTTTGCTGATGAAGTATTCTGAGGTTTAATGTGCTACTCTCCTGGCTCAGGCAGTCTCTGACCAAGTGCTATGTTGCAAGTGAAGAAAAGGTCATTATAATGATTATCTGCCTTCACCTTCTAGTGATGATTTAGTGACAGTGTGCAAACCTGCAGCTGACTGACAAGCATGAGTAGCGGGGAAGCTGTCTTGGCAGTTGAACCTTACAGACCATTCCTGTTTGTTGATTGTCATTCCTCATTGTAGTGTCCTTTGGTAACGAGGGCCGTTGCTATAGCCATGGAGAAGTTGCTGTTTTTCTAGCAGAATTTCACTGGCTCTTGCACAGAGTAACAGCCTTTTGGGGGACTGACTCCCTTCCCTCCCCATCACGAAGGAAAGACTTGTGACCTTTGGATTGATCAAGCTGTAATGTCAGCAAAGCATTAAAGTACTGCTTGGCAAACATCTGAAGACTTTCCCAGCTTCCTAAAATAGTTTGCTTAGTCTCTTCATCAAAGTAAAGATTCCAGATTTCTAAAATCCTACACGCTTTTTTGTGGGGAATATTGCCTGTTAGTGAATATTTTCTGAAACCAGCTAAGCTCAAGCAGGAGGTTGTATGGCTTGTATGTTGCTCTCCTATTGAAGATCAAGGAAATACCTGGCTATTTTTCCCTGAGTTCAGTTACATTCTCATGTAATTGCTGTAGCAAAGCCTATGCTGAAGTGGCTTAAAAGGCTTCATGGTATCAAATTATACCCCTCTGGTAACCATATCCAGTTTAATAAGAGTACTGGAAATAGTGATTTACAGGTGCATTTATTGGTTAAAATCTTACAGCATACTGTTTAAACTGCAAGTACTATTGAAGATGTGCATCTGGGGAGGGCAGTGAAATCTTAATTCTTTCAAACAATGTCCAGAGACTTACATGACTTAGATTGTCTGGACATAGTGCTCATTTATAGATATCCCTGGCTGCCTTAACTCGAATCCATATTAAGCCATCTCACTGAGTCCCTATAGGTTATTCAGGCTGAATATTCTGTTTGGTTCCAGGGTAGCCTGTTCTGTGAATGGCCTTTTTTCTCTTTTATGGGTTTTTTCCTCTCTCTCTGGAACCCTGTGCAGTGTCTTTTGTAACAGCAAGATCAGCTGTTTTTGAACTTAGGTGAACTGTTTCAACAGACAGAGCTTCTCTGCTGACTCTGGGAAGTTCTGCTCTCAATCTCTTGACAGTGCAGCAGTTGCTGAGGTGTGATGTGTAACAATGCTTACAGTCAGCTTCCCTCAGTCATAAAACTGACTCAAGCAGTCAGTCTCCGGCAAAAAGTCTTCCAGCTCCATTTGTGAGAGCTGTTTGTAATTCAGTCCGGTGTAGAGTTCTGTAAGCCTGTCAGCAGTCCCATTAGCATTCACTGGACACCTATGGTCGTGGCAGTATTTCTCAGCACAGCCTATTAGTTCACTACTTGAGATTTAACCAATTGACAACTAAATACTTTTCACTCTGCAACTACCTAATAGAGAAAAAGCTTGAACACCTCTCACATAGAGGAGCTCCTTAGAGTGTGACAGTACAGTTACTCTTCCGTTGATCAGATCTGCATCTATGGTAATAATAAAGCAATTTGAGTATCCCTCATGGAGCATAAAGATTATCAAAGTTTTGGGTAACACCCCAGAGGGACAAGGAGTGATGAATGTGCAGATTTGAGCTGGCTCTGTGTCTAGTGAAGATTTGTTACAGAGATGCCAGCGTAAACTCTTCAGCATGTTCTTCATACTGGCAAAGTCTTGTGTGCTGCATGAATGTCTCAACATCTCATTTGATGGCTGTGGTTGGGAACACTTGTGTAGTCTTAATAGGACTTGCAAGGGATGTTGTGGATTGAATCCAGTTCCCTGTTGCTCTCTGGAGAGTTGAGCATTCTCTTGCCTGTAATACCTTGGATTTGAGGTATTCTAACAAACAGCAGCATATAATTTGTTAGCATGTCCTTTGCCCTCAGGTTCAGGATCCCGTTTTCATTTGAAGCATCCAGGCTTCTAAAGCAATGGGTTGATCTGTTTCTTTCCACACTGGGAACGCACTCATCCCTTGTTGACTTAGTTTTGGCTGCTGTGACGGAGAAAGTGGTTCAAATGATGAATCAGTGTTCACTGCTGAACATGCTAAATGGAAAAACTGTGTAACTTTTGGTTATATGCATCCAGTAAGGGTTATTGTGGACAACTTTAGTCCCACTGGCATAGGGAATCACTGGGGTTTCTGTGAGAATTTGCACTCAAGTGAGAATGACTGTCTTAATTCTGCAGGATTTTTTTTTTTTTTAGAATTGCTAGTGCCAGTAAAGAGAATTGTCCTTCAGTGCATTAAGACTGGGTTCAAACAAAGCTATTGAATCTCTTCTAAATACCTGTAGCCTGTTCTGAAAGAGTTAATGCTGTCTTCTGAGTACTATCCGGATACAGTTTTGATTGAATGTCAGGCTGTGTTTAAGACTTGTTTGCACTTGCTTCCCTATGGATGACAGCACAAGTTATAGCTGAGGTCAGCTTTGTCTGTGTTTCACTGTGAAGAGGTTTCTTTTGCAAAAACCCAAAGCTGTTGCTCAAATGAATTCATACATCGACAGAATACCATGCTGTTTGGAGGGCATCCAGAACGGAAATGTGCTTGGCAGAGTAGTCTTTGATTGAGACTCCTGTTACCTCTTTAAAGCACAGCGCTACTACCTGAGTCACCAGAAACGAGTATATAAGCAGTCACATGAAGAGAAGACTGGCTTAGCTTGCAGTAACTGGTTCTTTGAGATCTGTGTTTGTATTCCTTTACTCTCCCTTTGCCACAATGTCTTGAACTTGTCATTCGGAGCAACTTTAAAAGAATTGTTCTTGATGCCCCACCTCCCCTGTCATACGAGTTGTTTCACTTCCTTCCAAGGACAGAAGGTAGGCTGGGTTCCTAGTCACTGTCAGAGGTTCTTGTTTTTGTTCTGGTTGCCCAGAGCGTTGTACGTGTGAGCATGTACTGAACACCAGTTACTGTAAGGTAAGTTATTCCTGTTCCTTTTCCTTCTGTCTATGTGACACTGCTGTACTACATCTCTGAAGAGCACCACTGCAGTCAGATGACAGTTTGACATTCAAGGATATAAACACGAGACATTGCAGACAAGTAGAAAACAATCCTATGAAATTACATCCTGCTTCCTAGTGGCAATAACACATCTTGTTTTCAAACTGTTGGTCTGAATTCCTATTTAAGGAATGTGGCATCCAGCTGGTGCATAAGCCTGTTTTCCAGTGCAGCGGTAGGTGTGAGAGGTGTGTGTCTGAGCTAAAGGGTGGTGGCAAATGCTGGTTAGCTTTGGAAATGGATGCCAGGAGCTCTGCAATTCTGAGATGGAGCAGCATTTTCCCCTTTGAATTACCATAACTGATGTTTAATTCTCCTACTGTGAAGGCTGTTTCTCATTTTCATCCTGTATCAGTAAGTTGCCCTTGTGTTTATCTTGCAGGTTTCTGAGCATGGCGAGGATGGGACAAAGCAGAGCAGATCGGAGCAGGACTTGTCACTCCCCAAATCCTAGAAATTTTAGTTCATACGTACACTTGCCAGTGGCTGTGGGCAACCATTTACTTGGTGTAAAGAACTTAATATCAGTATAAACTGGCTCTGGGCAGTGTCAATGATGCTGCACTTTGAGTTGTAGCAGCTGTAATTGTGAATATTACTGAGATAGTGAAACATGGTGTCCAGTTTTCTATTGCATTTTTTCAAGTGGAGAAGTTAACTAATGGTTGACACACAAGTGGAGAAAATTGTGCATATGCCAATTTTTGTTACCTTTTTACTTTGAACTACACTGCTTATGAGATCTCATTGTTTTGGAAGAATGGCATGAACAGTCTTCGGCAACAGTTGTGATAATTGTAAATGCTCACAATTGTGCACTCTTTTCTGGTTATTCCTCCCTGGGTTTTGAAAGTTGTACACTTAAAACATTCTTAAAGTTGTTGGCTTCTATGTGCGACATACCAAGCCAGCTGACATGGTAGTAACCAAAGATTCCAGTTTTTAAGCGTATGAAAGACTCTGCCTGCTTACCTGTGCTAGAAATAACAGCATCTAAAGTGAAGACTTAAGAGAAACTTAGCGACTACTAGATAATCTTTAGGACTCTGCATTAACTCTATAATGTTCTTGGTATAAAAGGAAAAACAGCATATTTGTCACAAAATTTAGTTAACATCTTACAACTGAACCTGTATGTAAGTTGCTTAGGTAAATGTAATCACTGTAAACATCTATATGATCTGGGATTTTGTTTTTATTTTGAAGCGGGAGCTTTTTTGTTTACAAGTTCATTAAAAACTAAAAACTGTTTCTGTAAGGAAATGAGATTTTTTTTAATTTGCCTTGTTAATTCAGTTTAAGAAATCTACATTACCCTGTTTTTAAACCAAGTTTCAAGGCCATTTGTTAAGCAAAAGAAGTCATATTCCTTTCTAAATCATTTTAGATTTAGTGTTATAACTCTTCCTCATTTTGTTTTTAAATAAATTTTGTATTTTTTCCTTGAGGGGGAAGGGGCAGTCTTGCATTTTTATAACTTCTTGTTTGAGACCAGCCCTCTATACTAAGATTGGATTTTTTTCAAATGAAATGGCATCTTTTGCAGACCCAGTATTGGCAGCCTCCGAGCGTTGCCATGTCATGCATCGGCTGGACTGACTTGTGATTGCTAGTTTTGAGAAAAATTTGAATGGAATATTTGGATGGCTTTAAACCAAGGCATTTTCTTTCAAGTTATTGTGAAGTGGATATGACCAGACTTACTCTTGTTCTTGGGGACAGCCTCGCACCATGCAGAGTTCACATTGGTTACTGCCCCAGGCTGTCTTCCTTCTCACTCCTATTCTAGCCCAGCTGAAAGAAAGAAATACTTTTATTGCTGGTAATTCTTTAACAGTGTAATTTATTCCTTTATAGCATGTCAGAATAAATTAAAAAAAATGTCTGAAAATGCTGCCAGATGCCTATTGTGTAAATGTTGTTTGTATGTTAGCTTTTTAGACAGTTTCCATGCATGTAGCAGAGTTCCTGCTCACAGTTCATATTTTTACTGTTTGAAAAGGTCTTTCATTTTAAAAACAGTCTCTTCAAGATCATAGTACTTGCACTGTGTGCTCTCTGTCATCACAGAGTGGTAACCTGGATCAAGGCCGCACTCTGTGCAGTCGCTATGCATACTCTCTTTATGAAAAGGATCTGCCCTGAGAAGATGTTAAACTTCAGCTGGAGAACATTGTGTGCTAATAAACATTTGTACAGATAATCTGGGAGTAGAGGGAGGCAGAAAGTCTGCTGGGCATCAGAGATAATCAGTGCACATTTGGAAAAGTCTCTTCTGAGTCGGAGCGGTCTCTCTCTGTTACCTGGAAGGTGGAAGAAGAAACGTAGCTCATTCTTCTGGCTAGGATGCTTTTCTAGACTGAGTATTGCCCCATCCGAATAAGGATGCTTTACAAGCAATGCCTCATATGAAAACTGGTATGTTTCTAAGAACTGGTGCCTAGAATACATGTTTATGTCTTTATATATGATTTCTACTGTCTAGGCAAATGCATCTGATGATGTGCATTGGCAGAAGGGGAAGAGGCATCAATGAAATGCCTTCTTGGCAGCTGTTTTCAGAGTGGCTGCTTGGAATTGTTTTGGCATCACTTTCCTTGCTTTGACATGAGATATTCAAAAGTCAAAGGAAATAATTTGGTTTCAGGAGAAGAAATTATTTCCTCTGCCCATTAAACTTACTCAGACTTTGAGGAGGGTTGTCAAATTATAGGAACAAAACTGCGCTTGATAAGCACTGTGAGCAAGAACAGTTTGTATGCTTGCAGTGTCAGAATGCGTTGTAGTTCTTACAACTGCCAAGCCTTGCCCTGTGGAGGAGCACGGAGCCCAGTTAGTCCTTCAGACGTGGTGTGTTAGAGTTTGCTTCCGCACAGCAGCGTGAGCTTACGCTGTCAGCTCTGTGGTGCTGCTTTGCAGCAAGCCAGCCTGCACCAGACGTGCTGAGCGGCGAACAAGATGGCAACCTTCCTTAAAGAGATGCTGTGATACCGAACGTGTTCGCTGTATAACCAACCTGTTGGGTTTGTAACAAAGACTTAAAACCAAAAGCATTAAAAACTATGTGGATCTTGACTTCTGGTTGCAGCTCTGCAAAGGTTTTGTGTTGGGAGGTTTACTTTTATCTACTGTCTTGATGCAAGGTCAAAAACTTCTGCAAGCATTTTCCAACTAATTGTCATTATATCAGAGGCCATAAAGTGCAAGAACGACAACCTCCTGCTCCCTGGAAAGTGCTAGGATGCAGGTAATGACATCAGGCTGTGACAACAGGTTTAGTCACCTTCCTAAGCTGCGTACAGGGTTTCAAAGCAATTTATTAACCTTATAACAACTGAGAGGTGTCCTAAGGCCACCGTTTAAAGGATTGCTTAATTTGGAGCGTGGAGCGCTCATGTGTGCACCATGCTGGTTCATTATTTCTCACCGATTTAAGCCATTCCTCGTTACAAGCCCCTGAGAGCCTTTTTCTCTTCTCCCAGAAAAGGCTCTGAAAGAAGGACGAGCGGCTCTAGGTGTCAGTAATGCTGCTCTCAGTGCCTCGCCTGCTGTCCTGCGTGGTGTTGGGTATCGGTAATAAGCGTTGAATTCCAGCCCTGGCTGCGTTGAAAGCACTGGCAGGCTCTGAAAGCTGGGTACGTTTCTGGTAGGTGTGTCAAGCCTGCCCAGGGCAGGCCATCCTAGGTGCGTTTTGCTGATCCCTATTGAATTCTGTCTGTATGGGGGATATTTTTCAAGCTTACGTGTCGACTTGCTCTGCTGTTGCGTTGTTCTGCCTGTTCTCGCAGTCGGCTTTTCCCGGTGCGTTGCTCGTAACTTGCAGGAACTTGTACGTGCTCTGTGCGCTGCGCTTTGCCCGCGGCGGAGGTGAAGGCGGCTGTCGTAGCTGCGCTGCTCTGAGGAGGTTGGGCTGGGTGCCTCTGCAGTCCCCTCCACTTGGAATTTTTTGTGATCCCATGTTGGCTTTTTGCATAAGGCTTTAATTTCTCTTGACAGCATTCTCCAATTTAGAAGATTTGTTGCTTAGCCAGCTCTGTGAGCCCCATCTGCTCCTTACTTAATCGCAGTGAAATCATCATGATTTCATATCGGCTTGATGTCATAATACAAGTTCATGAGCATGGCAGGCTCCAGACAAAAAGGAAAAGCAGGCTGGGAGGAAGAGCTGTCTGCTCCGAGCACTAATGCCTCTGGAAACATGAGGCGAGGGACGACGCAGAGGAAGTGCCCACCCTCCTAATGACTGCGTTCGTGGCGTGTTCTAATGTGGAAATGGCTCCTTAATGTAATCCTCGTTAGCCGGACTGTGCAGGAAGAGGGGAGGGTGGTACCAGGTCTGGATGCAAAGAATTGAGATGGATGTTGTGCTAGGACACGAGGATGGTCATCGTTCTCGGCCGCATTAACAAGGCTTTTCAAAATAGACCCAGCTCTGTATTGTCCTTACCTGTGAGGGGAAGGTGGTGTGTTAAGGGGGGGCCATGTCCAAAACACGGGACTGTGTCCTTGGTTTTAAAGGAAGCAGAGTGAGCTCAGCTGCTTTACAAAGCTCGGTACTAAAGGTGTGAAATCTTTCAATTCTAACACTAACTTGACTACACATCATGCGAGATGTTCTTAGATGGGACTGTTGCTAGTGCTGAATTCAGGTAACTGGAGATCGGGAGGAGCGTTCTCACACCAGGCTCGAGCAATCAGGTTTCCAGGTATTTTTGTCCTTAAAATAACTGTGCAAGTGATGCAGCTCCTTTTTCAGAGCCGCTTGGCATTTTGGTGTCGAGGGCTGCTTCTAGAAGTACAGGAGCACGCTCAGTCCTAACTCTCCTGTTTTCCCTCTCCAGGAGCCTTCTGTCCCTGTTGATAATGCAGGCTGTTTTCTGTAAACACAGCTGGTCTTAACTTCAGTTCTTTCCCTCTCCGAGTTTGAAGGATGGCATCAATATGTGTAGCTGGCGGAGAAGCTCTTCCAGAGCTGCTGTACGCACCGCTTGCGTCCCAAAGAGCCGGCTCCTGGCTCCCTGCCCTGTCCCCTGTTCTCCACCACCCTTGAAATAATAGTGAGCCTTGAGCTACTTTGCAGTGATGGACTTTGAACTTTTTTTTTTTTTTTGAATGAAAGCAATGTGAGATCCGGAAGACCTTGAAGGAGCGTACATGCTGTTGTACAGGGTAGACTGGCTTTTGAGCTTCCCTTGTTGCAGTCCAGACCCCTGCATGCAATGATAAATCTGGGCCTTACCCTTGACAGCCCTGTAAATACCCAGGGCAGGTGCCTGACTCGGCACAGCTCGGGTACCTGGCGGAGGTGGGGCAGTGGTACCTGCATGGCTCAGCTCTGCTGTGTGGGGCCTTGTGGGCCGCCAGACCAGGGGCATGATGCCCAAATCTTCCTTTTCCCTTCCTCGTACCTTGGTGAGTCCCTCCTGCATTGCTGTGGCACATACAATGCCAAAGCAGTGCAGTGGGGCTTGTCCAAATAATTCCCTCCGATGTGTTTAACTGAGAACCCCCAGGGCTTAAGCCTGGTCTCCTGGGCACAGCTTACCCTGATGTCTGGCTTGCCTTCGCTGCTGCACGCGCTTCTCGTGGTTTCTGTGCACCAACTGGTAACTCCGCTTCTCGGCAGCGTGGGTAATTTTAAAGATCCTTAAGCCCATTTCTATGACTAAGGGCTGATGTTTCACAAATCCTGCTGTCCCCAGGTAGGTACAGTGGGCTGACCCCAGGACCAGGCTGGGACTTGCAGCTGGCTCGGGTGTTCAAAAGCAATTTCTCCTTGCTGGCCTGTAGCTAGGCCAAGCTGCCTGGCCTCTGCTGATGGGATTTGCCAGACCTTCCTCTGGTGGCAGCTGGAGGTGGGGCTTTGCCCAGGCCAGGCAGAGAGGAGCAAGGCGGTGTTTGTGGGCTTTGGTGTGCAGGCAGGCAGTGGGGGAGGAGAGCAGAGAGGTAAAGCTGGAAACTGGTGCAAGTCCTTTGAGCTGAGAAAAATCACTTAGGCAGCAAACAGATCGTTCATGTGTGCCGAAGGCTTCCCCCCGGCACAGCTCTGATGTGCACTGAGCTCGTCCCTCCTCCTTGGTGGCTGCTGGTGTTGGGCCAGGGCTGTTTGTGGCAGGCGTGTCTGGGTTGGGGTTACCCGGTGGGTCAGGGTTACCTGGTGGGGTGAAGCCTGTGAAACAGCATCAGGAGTGCTTGCATGGCGGAGCGCGTGTTCATGTTCCTTCGGGGCTGGCACTCGCATTACGTGAGTTGGACCCTGGGTAACTCCTGCTGCATGGCACTGTTTGAGCAGCAGGGCTGGCTTCCTGAGAACCCTTTCTTCTGGGGGAGGAAAGGAGAGGACCCCAGCTGCAGCCATTCTTCTTGGGCTGCCCAGGAAGTGTTAACTGATGGCTTTTATTAGATGGGCTTGTGCTACA